AGACCGTCCCTTACTTCAAAAATAGAAACTCCTATGAAATTTAAGCTGTTAAGAGTCTGCAGGCAACACATCTGTTATTGCTTGTAACAGACCCCAGCGTGGGGCCGAGCTGCCCACACCAGAGGACGCCCAGACCGCACCCAGATCCCCACCCCGGGCCGGCATGCGCGCCGCGCGTCCACGCACATCCACGCACGTCCACGAGCGGCAGCGGCGGTCCAGGTCGGGATACGGCGCGCCTCTGTGCTCCGAGCTGACGGGGGACTCCCTTCCCACCCCAAGCTGGGAAGAACGGTTTTGTCCCAATTGTTGAAGTTCCTGCCGCAGCTGCCACGCACGAGAGCTCGGAACTTCCCAGTTTTTTGGCTGGAAGAAAACTCTGGCAGACCCAGAAGAAACCTGGACTAAAATCTGTCTCACACGCTCCGGCCCTGGGGGCGCGCCTCTGGGGACGTGCCGGTGACAGAAGCAGAAGTGTCACCTTTGACCAACACCAGCAGGGAAACGCCGGTCTTTGTGACCAGCGGGAAACTTCTTTTCTAAGTGAACCCCATTTTTCATTAATCCACGTTTTAAAAAAGTGTTCATTTCCTCAAAGTATTTCTAAATGTGGTATTTTTAATACACAACAAATGAAAAGAGGTGACTAGATGGTAAGAAAAAACCCGCTTGTAAAACGAAGTACTGAAACAGGGTTCCATGCCCCTCGTGGGGGCCAGGGAACCAGGGGGGGCCCCAGACACGTCCCGGCTGCCACCTTCTGCCGGGGCTACAGGCCCCCGTCTCGGGGAGGACGTTGCTGGTTCCAGCCCCCAGGGGGCCGGCGCATCCACCCTCACACTGTGGGAGGGAGGGAGGCCACCAACTGCTGGGTGTGTGGGCGCGACAGCTGGGAGAGGCGGTGGTGATGGCTCCCTGCACCACTCCTGGCACGCCTCGCCACACCCAGCTGTCACCGTCCTCAGGTCGTAATTTCAGAAGAGAAGCCTGTTTGGGGCAGGAAAGGTGGGAAAAAAATAGATGCTGTGGTTCTGCAAGCTTGCCTTTTTTGGTACCAGCACAGAGTGTCACTGTCACTAAGCGTTCCAGAGGAGGACACCGGAAACCACCTGGCGGTGTGTGTGCACGCAGGTGCGGGCACAGTGCGTGGCTCAGAGCCCCAGCGACTTCTGCACGATCTGCTTGGCAACCTTGTAAAACTGCTCCCGGTCATCCCGCCACATTTTAGAGGCGTCCACGTTGGCCCCGCTCTCATCGTTGGGCTCTGAAAGAGAGGGGACCGTCCACTTTAAAGGGGCTCAGAAAGGAAGGACCTGGTGAGACCTTCCACCCCCGAGAGCATCACTGATCTTCCTGGAGACAAACCAGAAACACCGACAGCTGCGAATCCAGGGGAAGGGTATCAGCTCTCTGAGCACGAGAGCCTCCTCCTGAGAAGGGGAGAGAGGTCAGCGGACAGGCGGGCAAGGCCCCCTCTCAGGGTTCCGGCACCCTCGGGTCTGAAGCACCCACACAAGCCACCTGGGTCTCACTCCGGAAGCACCAGGATGACTGACACACTCCCACCCACCCGGGAGAGCTAGCCACAGACCACCCACCCACCGCTGTCTCCCGCCCTGGGGGGCTCTGGAGACCACGTCTCTGTCCCAGAGCCCCTTCCCGGTGGACCTGTCCGAGGACAGTGCAAGGGCGGGGCTCCACCAGGGACATCTAGCCTGCAGACACCTGCCCCTAGGATGGCTCTCCGTGGGCGGGCCAGCTGGGGCCAGCGGGCGCTCCATAACTGGTATTGGGAATCACACGGGGGCAGCTGAGGCCAGTGGGCAGGGAGGGCAGGAGACCAGAAGGGACGGAGCCTGAGAGAGGTGCTCAGGGGTCAGCAAGGGCCAGGAGGCTGCAGGGCAGGGAGCACAGCCTCGCCCGCACACTGCGGACCCGCCCCCCAGCGCTGCCGTGGGCAGGGTCTCCACCCAACCACAGTCATGGTCACCACCCTCCTTCCACGCACACGGCAAACCCTCCCCCACCAGGTCTACGTGCGCAGCCTCGCGCTCGGCAGGCGCAGGACACAGCGTAAGGCCCTCCGAGAGGCACCGTCCGGGGGGGGGCGCCAGGTCGTGAACACCCACGAATGCCTCCTTTCAAACCAAGAGCTACAAGGGGGAGGAGGGCAGCAGCAGGCAGGGTGGCAGGGGCCCTCAGGAGGCCCTGCCCGGCTGGGCCCAACCACAGAGCCCCACTAGTACGGACAGGACCGCTCTTGCCCACCCGCGTGTCTGCCGGCAGAAACCCCAGGCCCAGAGAGTCAGGAGGGCCACGGCCACAGCCTCCCAGGGCAGCGCCAGCACCGAGGGCATGGTCCAGGGGCAGCCGGCCGTGGAGCTGGAAAACAGCGCAGAGCAAGGGACGTGAGTTCTGGGAGGAGTGTGCACAGAATCCATTAAAACCTGAAAAAAAGAATTTACAGCAGAAATGCCTGTGACGTTTGTAACAGCAGTATTTATGGGCGACATGTGAGACGGCCGCGTCAGCGCCTCACCCTGCCTTCCCGTGCCAGCCGAGCGCGGGCAGTGTGCCAGCTGCATCCCAGGCGCTCGGGCTCCGCTGTGTCTGCGGATGCCGGTGGCCGTCACAGCACCCCCCCACCGCCTCCCTGCAAGACCGCAATGCTCTCCTTCCGATGCTCCTCCTCTTCATGGAAGCACCTTTTCCTGGGACCTCTAGACCACTCCTCCCTGCGTCCTTTGAAGGCCCTCTCCTTCCACAGGCCCTTCCAACACTACCCCTGTCCTGCCTGTCACCTACTGTCTCCTCCAGAGATGACCCCTCGCCCTCACCTCCACGACCAGCCTTCGGCTGAATGGCTCCTGGAGATTCGGCTCCTGCCCCCGGGGTGCACAGCACACACCCCAAACTCTTCTTGTCCCGAAATCCTGTTCCCTCTGGATTCCTGTCCCCAAAGACGGCAGCCCACCACCAGGCCGTCAGGTCAGAACACAGGAGCCACCTGCACACCAGTGAGCCCACGTCTTCCAGGTCCCCTCAGCCCAACCCCTTCCTCTCAGCCCAGGACCACGCCAGCCTGCTTCCAGCACGGGGGGCTGCTCGGATGATCTAACACCCCCACGGGCAGCAGGCTCCGGGAGGCCCACTTCCTCAGGGCGCCCGCCCCGCCGGACTCCAGCCACACCCAAGCCCCGACAGCACCCCGCCACGAGGGCCAGCGCCCCGCTTCAGAAGCCTTGCCCCCGCTCCCTGTTAACTCCTGCACGCTCTAAACCCACCTCAGGCACTGGCCTGGGAGCCCCTGCGTGCACCCTGGTCCCGGGATGTGTCACAGTACCTGCAACCTCCCTCAGAATGTGAGGCCTTACGCCCGGGGTCAGCGTCACACTGAGTTTACACCCGGGACACCGTGTCTGCAGCACAGCGGGCCCCGTTAGGGCCTGCTGCATGAACGGGAGCCCGAGGACCAGAGCGCGGCTGACCACGGCCCACAGTGTGTACACACAACACAAGAGCATCTTCAAAAGCCATAATTACAAAAAGGAGGCTTACGCGTGGAAAAGCGCACACGAGTAACACGAAGGGGAAAGCAGGAAACAGCCTCCGTGCAGCGCTCCCAGAGGGCACACGTGGTACTGGGCAAGGGCTCCCGAGGGCCCGGGCGGCGTTACCTGCCAGCATGCTCACCACCGACAGCAGGATCTTCTCCACGCTCTGCACGGGGCTCCACCGCTCGGCGCTGCTCTCGTAGCCCATGGGGTCGTCGCCGGGGGCGTGCAGGATGGAGATGCAGACTCTGCCGTCGGGGTAGACTGCGGGTGGCAGAGCACACCAGGTGAGCCCAGGCCGCCTGGGGATGGGTGCTCGTCCGGCCCACGTGGTCCTAGCAGCCTTGCCGGCTCCCGGGGCTCAGCTCGCTCGCTGGCTCTCAGGACTCTGGGCCGGTCGAAACAGCTCCAGCCACCCAGGATGATTCCACTTCACATGGGTTGTTAAAGTATTATTTCCAAAGGGAATAAATGAAGGTCACCCGGCACTCAGATATTTCATCAAAGTATCTCATATAGTCAGGATTTTTCACAGTACTTCTCAGAACTAGTTTCTTAGCTATTCCTAATTCCACTAGGAAATCTCTGAACTGGACTGTGTAAAATGTATGTTCCCACGGCAAGGACAAAGGTGACCGGAATTATGTAAATACTGAGAAAAAGACAGGCACCAAGATTTTTCTCGGTGATGTATTCTAGCAGAAAGATGGCCGTCTGTGGTCTCGGGAAGTCGGCTGTGCCTCAGTCTATCCAGTCCACCTCCCGTCACCACCACTGACAGGTCTGAGTCCAAGGCCCAGCGCGGGGACCCTCCTGCTGGAAGGCCGCGAGCATCTCACACGCGCTTGGGGAGATTCTCAGGTTAGCATGTGCTCAGCTATCCCGGGAGACTCACCTGTAAAACCGCAAGGCCGTTAAGTTACAGCATGAAAAATAACAGCCAATTTTAAATAAACGCATCTCCTTCACCTGCACCCACGAGTTCAGGATTCTGTGAGCACCCAGGAACGCGAAGAGCCCTGAAGGTCCTCAGCTCCGTGCCTGGCCTGGCCCCTCGCTCTTCTCACTCATGTTTGTCTTTAACACCACGTCACAGGCTTGCTCTAAAGGACGTGTTTATCTTTGATACAGTCTTATTATTTCTACCTTTAAGTTGCTCACAATCCTCTTCACAGCTGCATTTTATGGTTGATCCCTTGAACTTGCCGACCTCCTCAGTCAGCTCTACTGACTATGCTTTTACACTCGGTATTCTGGAAAATGCAAATACACACCAAACCAGAGAGCAGAACTCGACGACTACCCGCACGCACGCCATCACTCCACCTCAACACCTGCCGCTCGGCGCCAAACTTCCTGAAAGCATGAACGTTTCTCAGCACCTGCCGTGCACACCGAGTTAACGCTGAGACAAGAGAGAAAACAGTACAAAACGGTCTCTGAGGAGGACGCTAATGACCTACACTGACAACAGCAGCAGTAAACGAGATGCTCCAAAGCGTTCGGGCCACAAGTCCCGCAGGAGAGCGTGTTCCCCAGGCAGGCGACCCTGAACACTTCACGGGGAGGGAGGAGCCCGGCTGGGCTTCAAGCAGGGAGGTGCCGAGCCGAGGGCAGACCAGGGGAGGGTGCGCCAAGACGGTTCATCCGTGAACTGAGAGAGAAGTCAAGGGCGCAGAAAATTCTGTAAATTCACCCATGGGTTAAACTGGCCTTTAGCGACTTGCCATGTAGAAAAGTACAGGAAAAGGCATCGGTTTCAAATAAGTAAGTATTTCATTTCTATAAAATAGTGTATCTTACTTGCTTTTCTTCTCCACAGTCATTAAGATCGTGATTATTAGTGTCAATAATCCTTTGTAAAAGGCAACTTCTTCCCTTTTTATACAACATACTTCCTTGTGAATTCTCTTACCTACAACCCCATCTACAAGAGGAAGCAATAAAAACCACTGCCGCTCAGGAACTCCGATCCCCGGCTCTAGACACTTGGCAAGACAAACGCAGTATATTTATTCACAGGACCTCATATATTCCTGTTTCTAAAAGTCATACGTGTTTATCTTAGACAAGATTTGTAAGTAGAAAGAAAATCATCCCACCGTTGGAACATAACCATTGTTAACATTTTTTGCTACATTTCCAATTACATATGTTCACACATGAACTTTCTTCAAAAAGAAAAAAGCCTACTGATCAGTAACCTTTTAACTTGCTTTTCTCATTCACTCCAGCACGGACACCATCCCATACCGTTAAACGTTATTCTAGGTCACTTACAACATCCGTGTAGTGTCCTAACACATGGATTAGTACAAGTTACTTAACTCTCTGCTACTGAAAACCTAGGTTGCTTTAAAATTTCCCCCCTTTAAAAACAACACTGTGACAGAGGCGGGGGCGACCACGCTGGACTCTGACCCACCGGCTCCCTTCTGAGAGCTCCCCAGCCAGGCCAAGTGCTGTCCAGTTTTAGGGTCACGCTTCTTTCATCTACGCTGAGCTGTCCTTCGAGACTGAAATGACGATGTCAGCACCACCATCATTAACCTGCTGAAGTTCGAGGAGCACGCCCAGCGGCCCCTGTCACTGCACCGCCGTCCACGCGCCCACCCCGCCGCCAGCCTCTCCCAGGGCCCCCGGCGCCGCTCCCGGGCACTTACTGTTGGGGTGGAACATCTCACAGGTAAATCGCATCTTTGGAGGACTTAACGGGTAATCAAGCGGGAAACTGAGGATGGCAGGAAAGACCCCGAACTCAAAGCAGGTGTCCTCCGGGCCCCTAGAAGACACAGGACACTGGCAGGAGTGCAAGGAAGGCTTTTTTTCAGTATCTACCACATTTTAGGGAGTTAAGGAAATTTCTACTGCTTCACAAATGCACATGAAAAGATTATCCAAATGGTAACGACAAATTGGTACTTTCTTCCAAATGGGAAGCAACGTCTCGTCTCACTGTCCCTCCCAATCTGGTTTAAATCACCAAGACCGACTGCGGACACAGGTTTTAGGGCAACAAAGGTGAGAGTGGGACAGCAGCACGTCGGAGCAACGGCACCAGAGGAGAGAACTCACGCGGGCTCTGTAAGACCCTGGGGATTTCATTTTTCTGTTTATCTGGTACAATTACATTTTAGGATAAAGATGTAAGTCACGGTACAAGTTAGAGCAAGATTCCACTGTATTAAATGAATGAGGGGTTAAGAGTCGTTATGTCAAAGGCTATTTTTAATTTTTAAATGCACGTGCGAAGTGATTTTGTAACCTTCCAGAAACAGATAAAGAGCACACGTGAGCTCACTGGTGACACTAGCTGCAAAGGGCCAGGCATGTGCACATGCACTGGGCTGCAAGCTGGGACCTGTGGCCTGGGCGCGGGCCATGTCCTGCGCCGACACAGCCACCTGAGCCCTCAATGTCCCCAGACACGCACGTGCCTGTCTGCCTGGGTGGACATCCTCCTCACATGGAAAATGGCAGAAACGGGCCAAACCGCTTCCAAAGTCCTGTTAAACTGTAAAATTCTATCCTGTAAGTTAACACTGCCTTGACCAGTACACACGGCAGGAAGGCGAGCCCGCCCCGCCTGCCTGCGTATTAACAGAGAGGAACTCCTCCACCCCTTACAAATTCCACTTCTAAACTGAATTCATAAATCTACCTTAGAGTAGTTCTTAAAAATCTTAGACCATCTTTCCAAGGCGAAGTTTTATAAGAAAGGAGAACGGCTGCACGAGTTACAGGCACTGACACGGGGCAAGGACTCGGGGGAGACGCAGCACTCCAGCAGACAGGAGCAGACCCCCACGCTGCCCGCGGGAGCGGACAGCGCGGCCCCTCCGCCGGCTCCCCTGCTCCGCCAGGCCCCGCACGCATCATGACCCCAGGACAGGGCGACTCGCACGGGCTGAGACCTCCATGACGGGAGCCGCTCAAAGACACAAACCGCAGAGAGGAGGCGTACAAACAGCTCTGCTTTCCTGTGGTGACAACCCGGGGGTGGTGACAGCCGCCGGAGGTGGGCCAGGACGGCACGGGGTGGGGGGAGGGTCAGATAAGAACAAGGCGAGAAGTGTTTGTAAGACATAAGCCTTGACTCTGAAATCTGTCCCTGCTGTTTCTGGGGAGGCTGGGGTGAAAGCACCTCGTCTTGGAGGGATGCGGCCCGAGACCGGAAGGGCGAAGCCCTGGGCAGAGGGGAGGGCGGGGCCAACTCGCGGCAAACCGCCCGCCCCCCACGGTGGACGCCCCAAAGCCTCTCCCTCTGAGGCAGGGTCTGCACAGACCTGGGGGGAGGTCTGTGGTCCCCCCTCACCTGCTCTTCCGGGCAGATGACAAAAGCCGCCCTGTTAGCTCTCCCTGCGTCCTTCCGAGGAAGGTGTAAGGGTTAAGTGACGGTCCGGGTCCCCGTCAGTTCGGCAAGAGCTCGAACGGCACGCCCAGGAGCCTGGGCAAACGGAGGCAGTCTGTAAAGCGAGGCTGTTAACACGCTGCAGGGCTGGCGCGGGCCCCAGGGCTCCTGGCACAGCTGCTTCAGAACAGAAAGGAGTGTCTGGGTCGCGTTTCTGGACTGAGCCAAGAGGAATCTGCTCAATACTCTGATAACAGTTCTTTGTTTCTCATAATAGGGCTTTCTTTAAAATTAAAAAGGAAGAAGCCCACTGGGCCTCCAGTAGCTTTGGAAGCATGATCAAACATTTCCTAAAGTGCTCCCGCATCTTAACTGTCAAAGCTGTTTCCACACGCTCTGGTTCGCCGCTGGTTTGACACTGGGGTTCAGAGGGCCGGCTGCCCTGGACTCGCAGCCAGGTGGGCCCCGCTGGGCGGCACACCTGCTGATGCCACGGAAAACGCTGTCGAGAAGATTCCTGAACCAAGACGAGAGTGGTAATTGGTGCTGTTTTTGGACAAGTCGCACTGCCGCGCTCCAGGCCAGCCTCCTTCTCCTCCACCAAAGAAGGCCTCAGCCCGAAATCTTCAGAAAGAAAAGGGAAGAGTATCAGAAGAGAGAAGCAAACCCAGCTCCTCCGAGGCCGCAGGTCACTTTCTATCTTAACGGGCTAAAGCAACGGCCTGAGTGACTTCAGAGCTCGGAGGTGAGTGTGCTCATCTTCTGAGGCGAGCACCTGAGTGGAGCTCAACCACCACCTGGACTCTGCGCAGAAACCGCGCGTCACACAGCTCACGCTGACGTGCGGGCCTCGGGGGAAGGGGGTGTGGAGGTCACAGCCCTGGCCTCGCCCGACCGCCACCCAGCAGCGCTCGCCCTCCAGAGGGACAGTGCCCAGCGCGGCGCCGCCACCGTGCCGTCACTAACAGTCAGTCATCGCGGAGCCAAC